CGAGGGTCAATGACCCCTGGATTGGGCAAACCTGAAAACTGGGGAGTCACCAAAGTCTGCCAAGGACAGATAAAAGGCAGTGAAAAGTGACCCTCAGGGGCACCCTCTTGATCTCCAACTCGACCAGACCTGTCCAGCCAGAAGGACCAGCCGGCGACCCCCTTCTGGAAGATAACACCATGCTGAAAGAAGCCTCAACGACAGACTCCAGCACTTGTAGGATAGGTATACTTGACTCTGTAGCTTGCTACTGTGTGTGTGTGTGTATGTGTGTGCATGTGTGTGTGTGTGTGGGGGGGGGACCCGCACCAAGGTTTATGATTACAGTGTTTCAATCTGCCTAATAAACTAGAATTTTAAGGATCCCAAGTTGGACATTTGTAGCCAACATGGTGACAGATGACAGAACAAGGAGTAGTGGTCTCAATTTGAAGCAAGGCAAGTTTAGATTAGATATTAGGAAGAATTTTCTCACTAGGAGGGTAGTAAAACACTGGAACAGGTTACCCAGAGACGTTGTGGAATCTCTATCCTTAGAGGTTTTTAAGACCCAGCTAGGCTTTAACTGGGATGATCTAGTTGGGGATGGTCCTGAATTGAGTGGGGGGGTTGGACTAAATGACCTTCTGAGGTCCCTTCCTATCCTAATTTTCTATGGTTCTATGAAGGAGTCTGATAATGGTAACAAATTTTGGTGGACATCCAAATCACATCTGGATCTTCCATAGAGCCTCCCTGTTAATTAAATCAAAGGCCTTAATCAAGTCAATGAGGGCCATGTAAATATCTCAGTGTTGTTTGTGCTATTTCTCATGTAGCTATCTAGCAACAAAGTTCATACTTGTGGTCTCAAACCACATTGAAACTTGGGTGCCAATGAGAACTTCAGCAAGGAAAGTGAGTCTACTGAGGAGAATGCAAGTGAGGATCTTCCCAGCTATAGAGAGGAGTGTAATATCATGATAACAGCTGCAACCCGATCCATCTCCTTTTTTTGAACATGGTAATGATTGTGGCATTTCTCAAGTCACTGGGAATCTGTATATGCTTCCAAATGTTCATAATAACAATGTGTGGTTAGTGAGATAACTTTTTTCCACCACCACCACCACCACCATCTTATCTACCAAGCTAAGCAGAGTATCTGAATTAAAAGGTAATAGGATTTTTTCCTTAAGCTCTCTCTGGGCGTGGACTGACTAGAGGATGGTTTCTCAGTGGATGCCATTGCCAAGAGACTTCAAGAAAAAGAGCTTGCACTAGGTAAGTCTTGAGCTCTGCCATCTTAAACTGACCCCATGATTTTACTCATGACGTAAATCTAGAGTCTGGCTTAGAAATGAATGACTTGCAGATACTGCTTTTGTTGGAGACATATGACTTCCATAGGCAGTGGAAGCTCCTGACAAGCCTGGCAGCAGCAAACATGGCCCCATAGCAAAAGGGGCAGAATTTGAAGCCAGGTAACATGGAGGAAGCTGAAAGATGGAGAGGCTTGGATAATGTGAAAGTGAAAATGAACCCTCACCACTAAGCACTTGAAATGAACAGTAAAACATTCATATGGATAGAAAGTCAAGAGACAATTTTAACATTTTCAGTATTTGCATATTTAATATTTTTTTCCATGCATTTTAGTTAACCACAAACAAATCAAGAAGGAACTTGTGTATCACTCCCAAGAACAGTGGGGCTTAACCTCCAGCCTGCAGGCTAGCTCCAGGCTGCAGAGCTATGTCATGTGGCCTGTGGGGCTCCCCACAGGTCCAGAAATCTGGTGGTAGAATGGGGCAGTTAATGCTGCCACTATTCTCCTGCAGCCCTATTTCCCATTTCCATGGCCAGATGACCTGGCCCCATTATGCTGGATAGGATCGGTGGATTGGGCCAGGCTGTGTGAGATCTGGGCCATGGACAGAGGTTTGATTCTGTGCACATGGGACCAGGAAGGTGTGCCTATTCAACCAGGCAAAAATAATCTTGTGCACTGGATTTGGCCTGCCAACCAGCCCTGAACCACTTAATTGGCCCACATCCCAGAAAGTTTGGGTAGCATTTGTTTAGACCACTTAGACCACTTTGGCAGGAGGATTCCTACATGCAGAAAATGTGGTGAAGAGATGTGAGAAAATGAGGTGAAACAGGAGTTGTAAGATTCACAACAAATTCTTGACATACATTTCTCACCAAGATGCACAGAATCTCATTAATGGTATGACTTTCCTTAGAGCAGTGCTTTGATACCCTCATGCTTTATGAAGAAAGAAATTATATGCATCTTCTGAACAACATATTGTGGTCTTTGGATACCACTGTAGGTTTAAATTCTTTTAAAAACTTTCAAAATTAAAGGCTATTGCCTCATTATACAGAACAAAAAAGGAAGCAGTTTTAGCAGTTGCTATCTCTATTCCCTTTCTCTTTATTATTATCATTGTGAGAAAGTTAAAATAATTTTTTTTGTCCCTGCATATAAAATAACCAGCTGGTAAGGATCAAGTCATTTCTTTAAAATTCAGCTTTTTCTGAGGTACTAATAAAGATACTTATCTTCTTCTTTTGCTGATTGAAGTTGTCGATGATGACACCAATGAAAAGGTTCAAAGTGAAGAATGAGCCAAAGATGATAAAGATGACAAAATAGATATACATGAACCAGCTAATCTCATAGCTGGGCTGCATATTTATCTAAACAAAAAGAAGAAATAGCAAAACTTAGCACAAGAGCATGGTTAATTTGCCTACTAAAATCCTACACTAGCATATTTTCATGGACACAGATACAACAAATATTCAACTGAATATGTAAACAGGACACAGAAAATTTTAAGTGCATATGTAAGTGACAGTTTGCATGTACAGATACAATTTTTCTCTGCACTCGTGGCAACCATTTTTGAAAACTGGTGCAAGAGTCAGACTCCATTAACAAAACAACCTGTTGCGGTAGCAGTACTCTAAATATGCTTAGTCTTTGTGAACCTATTTTTATTGAAGTAGTAACATGTATTATAAATAGTTTGCATTAAACGGTTTTTTTCCTCATCTGAAACACATTAACTTAATTGGTAGTAGCAGCAGTAGTAGTAGTTTATTCACAGTTTTCATTAAAACAATTAAAATTCACAATAAAATTATATGCAATATAATTTAAAGCTATTGGTAAAAGTCATAAATAAATCATTTAAAATACAGTAAAATATAGATTAAACAAAATTATAGATACATTTTACACATTCTATCAGATTAAATAAAATTAAAACAAAACATAGTATATGATGTTACAAAAAACAGATAGCATGAAGCAATATACAGTAGTAGATTTGAAATAAATAAATAAAACTAAGGGAATTCTGTTTGATTTTGGCTCTTATTCTTTGTGCAAGTAATTCAAATACACCTAGGGAGTACAGAACATACTATAAAGTTATTACAGAGGGGTCAATTAGTTTTTTCTTCATTAGCCCAGTATTTAAAATTTTCCAATAATAAAGAAATCATTTTCCACTTATTGCTTCATAGACTGAACAAGACCATGACTAGTGATTTAAGTAATCTATCTCATTCTTCCCGTAAAACCCCCTTCCCATCCTATCTGGTGCCTGACACCACCTGCCCTTAACAACTGTAGATATCATTAGAGTGAACTGTAGTCTAACAATGATTTCTCATTGTTTGTACTTTTGTACTTCAGATAGATAGGGTTCTAGGCCAAAGAATGCTTTATTAAACTCATAAAAAGGGAATTCAAGAAAATCTCACTGCCCACATATCTGGCTGCATGCTGGCATCTTTAATTCTGAAATGTATATCTTGTTTTAAATGTAGGGGTAACTATAGTTGGAGGAGAATACAAATGTTATTTAACTGTTCTCTTAATTATGTTATAGAACAAAGTCTGTAGAGAACATTAGACAAATCTTTAAATTTTCACAATCACTGCCATTCAAGTTAGATATAAAATGAGTATGATGTAGATGTTAAAGTCTATCCAAGTTACACAAATAAAGTTAGAAACTGTACTTACATCTACAGAATCAACAGCTGCATACATGATATCCGTCCATCCTTTAAATGTAGCCTAGAGAGTATTTGATATGTTACAATTTCAGGGTAAAACTTCAGGTGAAAAAAAACCAACCTAGCATTTATACTTATAACCCAATCATATTTCACACTGAGCTTGCATATGGCCATACAATGAAAGAGTATTTAAAGACAGCTTCCTTGGAAGAGATGAGCAAATGAATCATAAAAATAATTTATCAATTTAGTTGCCTTTTCTGATTTTTTCATTGTTTAAATTATTATTATGCAAACTCTTCACAATTTCATACCTGAGCTGAGCTGCAGTCAATCTCTGAGTTGCATGACTCAGCAAGAAAGGCACATGGTCATATTTCTTTTTCTGACTTGCAAACTGGAGAAAAGATTTAATAAGCCACTGAGCTTGGATTTTTCAGGAAGGGGACACGAACACAATAAAGAGAAAAAACATAAGATAAGCAGACTCTGGAAGTTTTATGAATTTTAACATTTTCCTTCCTCGGAGGGACAAGGTTTTCCCAAGAAACAAATCAAGCTAATATAAGATGTACTGGCTATGTACAAACACATTTTACTTTAATTTTCTACTGTCACTTTAATACAAAGGAATTCCCATTTGGAAAGGCTATTGTCAGGTTTGTCTAACAATAGATTTCCTGCCCAGGACTATAGAAGCAAGCCTATGACTCTTCTACATTTATAACATGTTCTCCTAACCTGCATTAAATAATGGCATTGTACTTACTGGTGCCTAGTTTTCTGTCCTTCTCTCCTTGCACTAGGTACATATTATGAGATTCCTGAAATAACCTTTATGCATGTCCCCACAAACAGGAATGTTCATTCCCCAGGGACAAAAAGAAGCACCACATACTTGTACTGCTGCTACCTGTTCCCAGGGGAACGCCCCTGCATATGTACTCTAGTGCATGGCAAGTTGCTCCAGGTGGGGTAGGGGAGGCTAGGGTCAGCACCCAGGGGCCTCCTGGAGCTCCAGTGGTGGCAATCTAGGCACACAAAGCTTGGCTGGCAGCTGGAGTGTGGCTCTGGCCAGCCAGGCTCTGGTTTTGGGTGGTGCGCACTGGTGCCACGTTCCCTTGTCTTGCTTTTTTCTGGTGCAGGTTTTTTTGACACTGGGATTTCCCGGTGTCAAAACCCCCTCCACTGCACTGCAAATTAAGTGTGGTGAACCCTTGTACATGCGGTGTATGTGGTTTGCGGTGCCGCAGCCAGGTCTGCAGTGCCATGAGCTGCACATGCGTGCTCGTCTGGACATGCCTTTCTTGTCTCGATTCAAGCTAGCAGTGCTTGGAATGTGTTAATATTCAAGGAGTGTCTTAGAATAGATCTTCCTTTTCTAGTCATCAGCATTCACAGTAAAAAAAAGGTAAATAGTCAAAGAAGAAATGACTGAAGAAAAACCTGTTTAGGGGTATGTAAGTACAGACATCTAACACAGGCACAAGTGAGTATGTTGTCACCACAGTTTAATATGTTTTACTTCAAAATCTAACTGGCAAAAACAGTCAGGCAAGGAATTTACAGATTACAGAAAATCTACTGTGAGCTGTGACCAGGATGATGCAGAGCAAGGGGGCAGGGCAACCTGCAGCACAGTGGCACAAGTGACACAGGCAGTGTCTCTGTGTGTGGCACGACAGATCAAGGAGGGGGCAGGGAACATGGCTGCAGATAGGTAAGAACAAGAAAGGAGAGCAGCAGATTGGGCAGGGGTGGGCAGTGGCACTCATGGAGGCAGTACCCCTGACAAAAAGGTCAGTCCCCACTAATGGAGAGGATGCCAGCATGTTTAGAGAAGAGTTAAATTTCAGCTGAACAGGCTGTATTCTTCCCTCAAGAAAAAATTATCTTTCCATGTTATTCTGAAGGACTGGAGAAAAAATATAATGGTTGTTCTGCAGTGTGCCATAGGATAAGTATATAAAAAAAGAGGAGACTGCTATAATATGATGCATTTATCTTCCTTCTAGTGTCCAACACCTGCAAACCACTCAGGGGATTGAACATGGAGCTGAGAAAAGAAATGACAGAGGCTCTTTCAGTCCTGATGTCTCTATGCTACTTCCTGGAGACAACAGACAAGGTAGAGATGCACCTTATAGAATAACTGAGTAAGATATGCATAAACTTTCACCACACATAGCTGATTTCATCAGATGCTATGAAAGGACAGCAGAGAGCAGGTTATCAAATAGAAGTTAATGATTTATATACACAATACAGGGAAGTGGGGAGAAAGGAGGGAGAGAGGGTAGGGCTGAGAGAGGCAAAAGTGGTTGGAGATAGCTTTCTATTTGATGGCCTGCGTGTTCTTTCATAGCATCTGATGAAGTGAGCTGTGCCTCAAGAAAGTTTATGCATCTTTGCTTCCATTAATCCAAGGTAGATCTCAACCTTGTCTTCTGCCTGACTTGCCTAACTGCCTCTGATATGGCTAATTACTTATTTCTGGCAACACAGTGCAGGTCTTGGTAAATAAAAAAGGAAGAAACTGTATTTGTTTTTTTTTTCACTGACACCTGTTGTTCAGTTTGCATTACATTTGTGTGCCCTGCTGGTAGATAATTAAATATAGAATTAATCCTAAAAGCCTAGGTCCCCCATTTCATAAAACAGGTGTAAGTGCAGTGATTTACCTTCTAGTCAGAACAGCTTCCAGGAACAGCATGGGCAGGAAGCCTTTTTAAAAACAGAGCATGTGTAGGGACAAATAACTCCCCATAGAGACTGCAGTCACAGTAATGCCAGAAGAAATAGCAAAACATTAAGCAAGCTCAGTGACTCCTTATAGGAATTACCATAATTCCTTCAGAATAACAATTAATGTTCTTCTGTCTCTGGCACCCTCAAGCTTCAAAGAAAGGTGCAAGAAACTACATAATGAGTTATGGAATAATCTCAGGGGAGTTTCTTTCTAACCCCATTGGTTAGTGCTTAGTTATTGCTCTGGAAATGATGTTTCATACTTGTTATGTGTTATGTCCCAACTGTTCATGTATAAATTAATCCCCTTTTTAATCCTACCAAGCCTCAAGAGTATCTTGTGAAAACAAGTTCCATAAGCTAGTTATGCAAATGGCTAATACTATATCTTACCAAATGATTTCTTATTTCTTGTCCATTAAGAAATAACAAAAGCATTTATTTGGCCCCATCATATTAAGTACTCTGCACATCTTTCATGGCCCTTTTTAAGCCTTCTTCTCTCTAAACTAAACTATTAGGGGTGCACCAATGTAGATTTTTTGGGCCAATACCGTTGGCTGATTATGATCAAGCCATGGGCAGCCAATACTGATCCTATTTCATAGATTTCATAGACATTAGGGCTGGAAAGGACTTTGTGAGATCATCGGGTCCAGCCCCCTGCCCAAAGTGCAGAAAGTCAGCTGGAGTCAGGTAACCCCAGCAAGATAAGCATCCAAACGCAACTTGAAAGTATCCAGAGTAGGTGCTTACACTTGCTCCCACTGGAGGGAGTGTTTCAGATTCTGGAGACTTGGACAGTAAACAAGTTTTTCCTTATCTTCAGTCTAAAATGGTCTTCCAGCAATTTGTGACCTTTGGACCTCGTCTTCCCTAGGGGAGCCCTGGTGAACAGACGTTCTCCCAGATCCTGATGTATATCCCTGATGTACTTATATGCTGCCACCAAGTCCCTGTGAGCCTACGTGTTTCCAAGATGAAGAGTCCTGTGTGTCTCACCCTCTCCTCATAAGGCCTGCTCTCTTGGCCTCTGATCATGTGTGTGGCTCTCCTCTGGACTCTCTCAAGCTTCTCCACATCCTTTTTAAAGTACGGAGCCCAGAACTGGATGCAGTACTCCACCTGCGGCCTCACCAAAGCTGAGTAAAATGGGAGAATGACATCTTGGGTCTTGCTTGAGATGGATCAGTAGATGCAAGCCAGGGTTTTATTTGCTTTGCTGGCTGTGGCATCGTATTGGTGGCTCATATTCGTCTTATGGTCAATCATGACCCCCAAGTCTCTTGCAGACACAGTGCTAATGAGTGAAGCACTGCTGAGCCTATAGGTGTGGTGTGGGTTCTTTCTCCTGAGGTGGAGCACCTTGCATTTTTCTATATCGAAGGTCATCAGGTTTTCATCCAACCACCTTGTGAGAATGTCCAAGCCAGCTTGGATCCTCAACCTATCCTTCGGTGTATCCTCACATCCCCACAGTTTGGTGTCATCTGCAAATTTAGCCAGTCTGCTACTGACACAAATCCAGATTGTTAATAAATATATTAAAGAGTACTGGTCCAAGTACTGAACCCTGAGAGACACCACTGGTCACCATGTGCCATGTTGACTTGGTTTCATCGGCCATCACTCTCTGGGTCCAACCGTGAAGCCAGTTCCCCAGCCATCGGACCATGAGGATGTCAAGGTCACAGTTCTCCAATTGTGCCATGAGGACATTGTGGGAGACCAAGTCAAAGGCTGTTTTAAAATCCAAATATATGACATCAACCTCTTCCCCCCCACCCCCAACTCTTTTAACACTCTTCATCAGGGCCCACTGACTTATGGATGTCCAGCCTCTCAAGGTGCTCCCTCACAAGGTCTTCACCAAATGTAGGAGTATGGTCACCCATACCCTCGTAATCCTGTGTCTAGTCAGGCAGGTGAGCCCCTTGGGCTGGTGAAAAACCAATGCAAAGTAATCATTGAGGAGATTAGCTTTTTCCTGGGTGTTGGTTGTCAGCTGCCCCATTTGATTCAGCAGGGGTACAATGTTGCCTTTGTTTTTCTTTTGACTTCAGTCATTTCTGAAAAAGGACTTTTTATTGTCCTTGATTCCCATAGCCAGCCTGAGCTGAGTTTTGGCCTTGGCTTTTTTGGGCCATTCCCTACAGGTGTGGGCCAGTCCTGCATAACCCTCCGTAGAGGTATTACCCATCTTCCAACCCTTATAGGCTTCTCTTTTAAAACTAAGAAGGTCCATGAGTTCCCTGTTTAGCCAAAAGAGTTTCCCAGCCCTTTTACTACTTTTCTTGTGGACTGGAGTGAACTTCCCTTGAGCTTTTAGGACCATGTCCTTAAGTAGTGACCACTCATCCTGGGTTCCCTTCCCTGTCAGATCATGATCATTCAGGGTCTCAACAACCAGCCTTCTGAGCTTGTGAAAGTCAGCTTTCCTGAAGTCAAGGATTTCTGCACTGCTGACTGATTTGCCACTTTTGTGATGGATAAGGAAGGTGATCAATTCATGCTCACTGTTACCAAGCTTCTCGTCAGTCCCCAGGTCACTAATGAGATCATCCCCTTTGGCCAGGACCAGATCTAGCAGACCGTGGGCTTCTTGAATCAGATATAGTTCATCAAAGCAGGCAAGGAAACTAAATGACTGATCAGATTTGGCTGAATGCTCCTCCCACGAGATGTCAGGGAGGTTGAAATCACCCATGACAACCATGCACCAAGAGCATGCCACCTCTGCTAGTTCCCTAGAGAATTCATGGTCAAGCTCTTCCTCCTTGTTAGGAGGTCTATAATAGACTCCTTTGGTTATATCCCCTTCACCATGTTCTCCTCTTATTTTAACCCATAAGGTTTCAAGTCACCCTTCTTGGGTGCTAATGTCAGCTAGCAGGGAAGTATACTGCTCCTTGACACAGAGAGTTACACCCCCACCCTTCCTATCAGCTCGATCCCTCCTGTATAAAGTATAGTCATCTATACCTGTAGTCTAGGCCTAAGTGGAGTCCCACCAGGTCTCTGTTGTCCCTATGAGATCATATTTGTTACTGCTTAGCAGGGGACCAGTTCCTCCTGTTTGTTCCCCATGCTCCTGGCATTAGTGTATAGGCAGCTAAGTCTGCCATTGGAAGCCCTCGGCTTCTCTGCAGGGGTTTAGGTTGTAGCCGTGTTGGTCTAAGGACATAGGCAAACAAGGTTCCTTGGGTGAATTTGATATTTTTTATTAGACCAACCCAAATAGTTGGAGAATAGTTATTAAGCAAGCTTTCGGGTTCAAAAACCCTTTGTCAGGCTAAGGAAGTTTCAGCAGTTGGTGTGTGCTCTTCCTGGATGGAATGAAAAGTAAAGAAGCCAGGGGCTGGGCTGGGGAGTCAGTTGCCAGGCAGATTATAATGTATCAAAAATCCAATGTCTATGTTTAGTCCATGATCTCTAGTATCCAGCAGGTTGATGAAATGGAGCTCATAGGCTCGTCTCTGGGAAGTGTTGTGCAAATTTCCCTAGGCTTCTCTGTGCACTTGGGAGCATCCCATCCATGGGATGGGATAGGACTAAGTTTGGTTGTATTTCCTGACCTGCAGATTGTGTGTTTGACTCTTCCTGGACTTGTTCTGATGGTTGTCTGCCCATCCCCGGGCAAGCTTGGTTTAAAGCTCTGGCAAGCAGCTCAGCCAAACCAGTCAAATGTACAGCCCAGCAGCCTGGAGAGCAGCTGCCGCCTGGCCTGAGTGCAGCCCCATCCCAGTGCCCCTGACAGGAGGGAGGGGAAACCAGCACTGAGCTCCGGAAACTGAATATTCCAAATATGAGATGTAACCTTAAGCACATCATTTTAATCTTTCTTTTACTTCTTCAGATTCCAATGAGTACTGAACAATTGTTTTCATCAAGCTACCTACAAGGATACCCATATGTTTTCTTCTAAATTTACCTAAAAGCACCTGTAAGTAATTCAAATATTTCCTCCTCCCCACTAATTTTTTTTGTATTTTGGACTCAGACAGCTGCTATTGAAAGGAATTAGAAGGATATCAAATATGTGAGAAACCAAATTTTTTTACTGAGTAAAGACCCGGGAAGAAGTGCTGGAATATTCCCTAGGTATTGAAGGTTTCCAAACGGTAGATGAACTGTAATTTTTCACTGTAAAAATCTATGGTGGAGTAGAGAAACAGTGAATGTTAGAAGCCAAAATGCCCTTTGAAGATCAAATGGCAAGAGAGACCCAATAACCATGGATAAAGTGCTAGTCATAAATGTACTGGTACACAATGCATCGGTATTTGCAGCAACTTTGGCATGCACAAGCGAGGTGTGTAGATTTATAACACTGCCACTAAAATTTTGGAGAAACTGTGGACTATAGTAGGGAAGTAACTGATAAACTACTCTCCTCTTCCCTGTATTTCCTTATTAAATCTAACTTCTTTCTGTGTAGCTGAAATCACTTTCTGTTAACATTAATGAGAAAAATATTGCTCAAATATTCAAGCACAAATTGACACAGCTGACATGAGTTTTGTTAAATCAAAAGGTTATTTGAAAGAGATTTTCTATTGGCATTTGCATGTCTCTTCTTTTAATAACTGCTTATCAATTAGGATAAAAACCAGTAAAACCATGTGTTCCTACTACTGTAATCTCTACTGTGTAAGTATCAATGTCAGGTAATTCCAAATAATACAATATTTTACAAATTTAACGTTACTAAATCAACATAACTATTGGCAGACTGTATGTGTAATTCATATATAAATATGCAAGTAAACCTACCAATGTGATGCATATAAGAGATAGAGACACCGATGAAATCATTATGAAACTGCTAGAGCTCATTAACATTAGACACTGGCCCTCACTGCAGACCAAGAGCAAGCAAAATGGGAGCATGCTAACATTGAAGCAGGACTAGCTCCAGAGTGAGGGAGAATAATTACCATGGGCTTATGAGGACAAATATTTTCCCAGGAGCATTGATCCAAGTGAAGCCAATTTGGAATACGTGCTCCTGTTCGAATTGGTTTTACTCTGCAGATGGTACTACAAGAAAAGTTCCTGTGCTCTGAATTCCAGCACTAAGAGGTTCTATTGAAGCTTTTGGCTTAGAATAACATAACAAAAGAAAACAATGGAATAACTGGTAATGGTTCAAAAGTGATTACACTAGAACAAAACAGAGAACACACCATATGGACAGAGAAAAAAGTGGGAACTATGGTTTAAAATCAGTTTTGCCTGGTCCCCCTCTGAATTAATTGTCAAAATTTAACCTTCCACATAACTTTTTGCTTTGACAAGCAGATGGGCTTTGGAAATGTACTTGACTACCGTGGTAAGAAACACTGATGTCTGTCTACAACTTGGCAGATGGCATAAATAAAAATCTCTTGCCAGTTTTCTTTTTAGGGTTATGTGATACTAGAACATTTCTAGAATTTTTTCATGAACTTAGGATGAGACTTAAACTTTTTCTGTTTTTTATTTGGGGAGAGGAGGTAGGGGGAAGGCTCACCAGTCCTTTTTTATTTGCATTCTGGCTGTAGTTAAGCACTCCTTCTCTCTACAGTCTATAAAAGAACATGCTGGATTTGTACCACTATCAACATTAATCTGCTTGCGCATAACAAAAACAAAGAATAATTAAAGAAATAGGAAGCAATTAATCTCAAATATAAGTACATAACCTCTCTTTTGGATATTTTGCTTATCTTCAAGGAACCCCGATTTTAAGCATCCTAATAAGCAACCTCCTTTCCAAGGACCCTTAGATTTTTGTGACTTTCATTAACATAGTATGTACTGCCATGTGATAAGATGATAATGATAAATGGAGAATCAATCTTCATTTCAATATACAAAGTGGGAAATTAAGCTATAAAATATATATAAAAAATGGCCACTTACTACTTGAAGCAGAGAAAGATAGCCGGCTCCGACATTGTCAAAATTTACTTTCACATTTTTCCACCGAACATTATCATCGTTTTCCATAAGATATTCACAAGCATTCTTATTTTTAACTTTATCTGCCAGAAAACATTGCCCATTTGTAAGGTTAACACAGGAGAAGAACTTGCCAGCAAACAAATTAACTCCCATGATACTGAAGATTAGCCAGAATATGAGACAAACCAGAAGTACATTCATAATAGATGGTATTGCTCCTACAAGGGCATTCACAACCACCTAGCAAAAAAAAAAAAAAAAAGTATAAAAATATGTATATATATATATATAGAGAGAGAGAGAGAGAGAGAAACTTTGTAAGAAAACTTACAGACGCAAAAATTTGACATTTTTCCTGACAAGGCTACTAGTGAAAATAACAGACTAAAATGGAGTCACAAACACTCTTATTTTTCAAATAGTTGAAACAAACTATGTACTTAACTAATCAACAGAAAATGGTTGAGAACTAAATTGCCAAGTAGAAAAGCTAGTTAATTAAAAAACCCAGAGGAGTTGTAAAGCAGATTGTGAAAATACACAATATATTCAAATTAATAAATGTGGGAAATCACCACTTACAAACATGACTAATGACTGAAAAAAAATGAAGTACTGACTTCTTATAGATTTTTCGAAACAATACAGAGGTAACTTGATAAAATTATATCTTAAAAGAATTACAAAACACATTTACAAATTATTTATTTATATACACATTATTATTTTACTTTCTAAAGATAGCTCCAACAGAAAATGGCAGTTTTGTATTATACATTCAGCTAGATTAGTAGTGTCTTTAATTCCCTCCTTCTGTAATAATCCTGTGATATGAAAAAATAAATACATTATTATCACAATTTAAATAAAAGTATATAAAGATTCAGGCTACAATAAATTTGTAAACAAGATGAAACAATGATAAAGTTAATTTAATGATGAAGAGCTAACTGTGAAAGAAGGTTGCAAAATATTCTGGTTATTAGAAGACTGAAATTTTCCAATCCCTAGCTGAAATAAATACTACTATATTTTTGTCATGACAGTATAGATTTTCTGTGTGACAGAAAGAAACTTGTCCCTAGCTGGTTAAATAAGGTACCTGATTATTTCATTTCAATGGAGAACCTCTATTACTTTTCATGTTTGTGTTTATTCACTCCTTTGCATATATGGAAAACTGAAGAGTAAGTTTAGAACATTTAAGGAAAGTGGAAATTTTCTACCTTTACAACCTTTCTACCTTATTGCAACCTTTAGAAAAGATCTTCCTGACATCATACATTGCAAAGTCTATTGGCAATAGAGAAACTTGTGTTCTTTGATATATAACACTTTAATTAATGTTAACAGTGATAATCTTGGTGTTGAAACCAACTACATTTCTTTTTTTTAAATAAGGAGAATGGTGATTTTCTCAGAATCAATGCCATTGAAGTACATTAGATACATGATTTGCACTTTCATCTGGTGCCTTGTATTATTCTTCTGGCAGGATTTGGGGTACAACCTCAAATGGTCTTCTGAGACACATTGAAAATGGAATTTACTTTGGTGATAAAGTATGGAGGGATCTCTAGAACTATTCCATCACTGTCAATTAAACATGTTTTAAATAAATTAAACTTTTGAATCTGATATTCTGCAAATGTGACAATTAGAAGTGATTTTACATTAATATATCACATTCGGAAAGAGTTTATAAATACTTCAAGTGACTTAAAAACTAGATATATTCTTTGAGGGAAAAGAAATAATTTTGTCTTGAAGCTAAATACTTTGAGTTGATTGTGAACCAGAAATGTTAGAAAAGTAACCTTTTTGCTAATGTTAGTAAAGTAACATTTTTAGGGATTAAGGACCTATGCCTATTAAATCTTGACAGTAATCCATATATCCAATATTATTGAGATAGATATTTGTTTTAGTTCTCTAGAAACTTGACTGTAGAATGCATTGCAGGACAATTTTATGAACTCATTCTTAGATGAATTAATTGTAAAGGGATATTACAGAGGACAAACTGACAAAACTATTATGAAATAGGATTAAAGTTCGTATGTTACAAGACAAAACAGTAGAAGTAGATGGAACAAATTCATATACTTGAGAAGCAGAATTAATATGGAAAGTTTATAAAACAAAAACCATAATACTAGCTTTATGGCTAGAAGCCAAGTGAGCTTCAAGATAATTATGCCAGAGATGACGGTAACAGTGTGAAAAAACTGTCAAGGCAACAAAAACACTTTTTCATATACAAACTATAAAATAATAAGGCTAGCATCAGAAGGGAGAATTAAGTTTAGTGAGAAGGGGACACTAAGGAGGAAAAAAAACATACACAACAGACAACTATCAATACATAGCATTCTGTCTTGTGCACAGTAGGTGGCAGAAACAAGCTTTGTGGTCTCACAGAATAAGATACCAATAAGCAATTCATGGATATAGTACACTCTGTATACCAGTGGTTCTCATTCTTTTTAGACTCTAGTACCCTTCATTGGACTCAAAGCACTTTTCCATAATTTTTTGTGAACTGAGTGGCAACTAATTTAAAAAACAAGTTTATATATTGTAGTGCTTACCTCCTTGCAGAGGGGCTGGTGGGCAGTGGATCATTCAGGCAGGGACAAGCCTGAGCTTGTGTTTATCTACCTACCTTTTCTGCTCATCTCCTCACAGCACCATTCTATTTAAAGGATCCTGTGGCACCTCAAGGTGCTGTAAACAAACATTTCTTTTGAAAGGAAAAACCATACATGATATCAATTAATGGGACAAGATCAGAGATCTAGAAAAAGGTTTAGTTGATATTTTAAGTAAAGGCATTAAACTACTGCAGTTACTTCTTTTGTTAATAGTGCAAAAAAACAAACATTTTACATGTGCAGGGGGATAGGAAGGGGGGAGGATACTTTAATTAGGGCGGATCTGAGAGCTGCTCTAATTGAAGTGCCTGCAGCATCATGTGTATTCAGTTTCTCACGCTTCAAAATGGCAGCAGGGGTGCTTTAACTAAAGCTTGTCTGATAAGCTTTAGTTAAAGCACTCCCGCTACTATTTTGAAGTGTGGGGACGCTGAATACAGGAAATGCAGAGGCTGCTCAAGTCTTAATTAAGTCTGCTCCAATGTGCTGTAATTACAGCACATCAGAGCAGCATCCCTGCATGTCTACAGGCACCCAATATTAGCACTTCTAGGCAGGCAAATATGTATGCATGATTCACAGATATTTAAAATAAAAACATTCTGACCTATTGTGGTCTGAATATTTTGCAACAGAAGAATTGCTCTATTCATTTTCCAAAATCAAGAAACAAGTGAAAACAAAGAGGTGTCTTTTCCTGTTTCTGTGAGTGAAGGCAGTCACATTAGTGAATTGCTTGTACATCCCGTTTAGGGCTGGTCAGTTGAGCTCAGCTCTTCTCATGCAGTGTGACATCACACTACCCTCCACTGACGAGTCAGTGTCAAGCACCCAGTCAAATGGGCTGTATTGTTTGTTGTGATCAACCAATGAAAGATATTTGCAAGAACCACCAGGCTCCAGTGTCTAATTTATTATAATACTATGATACCATGGCTATCATGCATGATTTTTCATTTTGTTTAAGAAATGTGTTTTAGTCATTGTTTTTATGCACTGCAATAAATAAGTTCGTTTTTTAAATGGGGTGCAGCTAAATTTTAGCAAAATGACAGAGGGGTGTCTCGAGACTAAAAAGGTTGAGAACTGCTGCCTTAGATAATTACGAAGTAAATCAGATTTACTTCTCAGCACTTAGAGAGTGTTTACATTTCATCTACCTTGGACATATAGACTATTTAACTTCACATTTGATCAGCCAGCCTTCCAACTCTACAGGAGAGTGGTTTAAATTTAAAAGTACAATATGAAAACATCTCTGATAAGAATAATTGGGTTTGATAAAACTCTTCTTCCACATAATACACCTAACAATATGTACTGAAAATTTGATTCAGACATGTTAACTGGGTACTGGAAGAAAAATGATGCATAGCTGTGTATTCTAAAGTATTATTAATTATCACAAAGGAGTCGACAGAACATTTAAAGCTACATTTACATATTTTTTACATGCTCCGAGTAATAATCAGAATATCAGAACCTAGATCATTGAGAAGGAATGGTGCCTGCTTGGTACCAGGTCTATTGTGGAGGTTGTCTACCAGGAAAAAGGTGAGCTAGGGAATAACAAAATCTCCTGGAGCTGTTGACCTAAGCTGTTGACCTCCATGGAGAGAGCTGGGGAAGATAACACTGCTAGAGGAGGAGCTGGTACTACCAATGCACTCTGATTAGGTTTGGAATTAGAACACATAAGTTTTCTTCTCCATATCAGGCTGTACTGAGGAAATATGCACCATATTTAGTGATGGTGGCACTGGCACTCAGCTCTGCAAAAGGGACAGAAGACACAGCATTTTGATGGATGAACCTTCTACAATCTTGTAGTGCTAGCTCTAAAGCACACAGGTCTCTATGAATTTCTCCTAGAACTTTCAAAGGCTAAGAATTCTTGGGGCCTGATCAGTAACTCAGAAAGGATTTTGCAGAGCAGGAAGCAACAGCTAACATTTGAGGTGAGATGCGGTATGCCACTAAGCTCCTGATGGGGGACTTGCTCCTTGTACCCATCCGTGCCAGACTTGTAACGCCAGGTGGTTCAGGACCATGCTTGTGCTGACATGCTGGTACGATGAGCATTTTTCCCTTGGGAGGTCTCCCCCTGCTCCCTGCCATGTCTTGATTTTACAGGAAAATAAGGGAGGTTCCTCAAAGATTGCAGACCACCCTAGGGCACTCTCACTGTAGGTGTTTCTTGGGACTCCTCCACCCCTACACCCCATCCACATGCCAACCGTGGCTTGTCAGCTGTATGGTGCTTGATGTTTGAGTTATAGGCAACCAGCTGGGCTTGGTGTGTTCCCACCTTGACAGGCGTCTTGATAAAAGGGGACGTCACATGTATAATTAATTAGGTTACCCCAGCGATATTATGAATCAAAATGCTTTCGCTAATGAATTTATTAATAAAGAAAAGAAGTTTCGGTCCTAATTGTAGAATCAGCACACTACTTGACTGCAGTTCCTCAGGTCACAAGGTCCAAAGTTAATTCCCAAATCATGCCAGTTCAACACAAGCTCATAATCAAAATTAAAAATGGCCTATAATCAGTCCTTCAGACTACAAAAGTCCTCAACAAGCTA